AGTCAAGTGATTTCAGATTTTCCAGCAGAGATCTAGATAATCACAGCATTGTTTTACAGACAGTACTGTGGAGATGTACCACTAACAGGGTTTTTTTCTCTTGTGTCTTTTGTGTTCTTCTGTACACCCATAATCAGTGATGCCCAGCCCCAATGACTTCTTTGCAAGTTCCGTGATTTTTAGTGAATTTAAAAAAAACCCTCAAGTGCTGGAGTCAAGCAGTTACATAAGAATCTCAGCTGTCATTAAAAGAAGACCGAGTATCCATAAACTACTGAGACAGGGGCGGATGGGAGGGCGCGGGGGTTACACTGCTGCTCTTGCACCCCCCCCCGCTTTTGATTCCTGTTCCACCCAAGGTTTAAAGTCAACTGGCGGCGGCAGCAGCATTTCTAGTCAGGCTGTGCTGAGGGAGTCAATTGACTTTAGGGCTCCTTGTATCATAGTATCATAGTAGCTAGGGTCAGGAGGGACCTGAACAGATCACCTAGCCTGACCCCCTGACACAGGCAGGAATGAATGCTGGGTTCAGACCCCAGACAGGTGATCGTCCAACCTCCTCTTGAATTTGCCCAAGGTAGGGGCGAGGACCACTTCCCTGGGAAGCTGGTTCCAGATTTTGGCCACCCTAACTTTAAAATATTGCCTTCTGAGCTCCAACCTAAACCTATTCTCCATCAGGTTATTACCATTGTTCCTTGCCACCCCAGGTGGTGCTGGGGAGAAAAGGGCTCTGCCTATTTGCTGTTGATCTCCCCTGATGAGTTTGTAGGCAGCTACCAGGCCCCCCCTGAGCCTCCTCTTGCTGAGGCTGAACAGGTTCAGGTCCCTCAGTCTCTCCACATAGGGCCTGCCCTGCTGCCCCGATCATGTTTGTGGCCCTCCTCTGGACTCTCTCTATGTTGTCCACATCCCTCCTGAAGTGAAGCGCCCAGTACTGGACGCAGCACTCCCACTGTGGCCTGACCAAAGTCGCATAGAGGGGGAGTATCACCTCTCTGGACCGGCTTGAGATGCACCTTTGGATGCATGACAAGGTATGGCTGGCCTTGCTGGCTGCGGTCTGGCATTGGCAAATCATGTTAATCATGGAGTCAGTAATGACTACAAGATCTGTTTCCGCCTCTGTGCTTTCAAGAGGGGAACTCCCCAGCCTGTATGTATGTATGCTGTGGATTCCTTCTCCCAAGGTGCAGCACCCTGCATTTGTCTATGTCGAACCCCATCCTATTCTTGTCTGCCCACTTTTGTAGTCTGTCTAAATCT